TACATTCTCTTTATTTCCTCCTGGTTGGATAGTATGTTCTCTTCTTTGTCTTTTAGCATTCCTAATATAGGTTTGAATTTCCCTTTGATTTCTCAGATCTTCTGGAAGAGGTCTCTTGCTTTCCCCCCTTTGTTCCTCTGTTCTGTTTCTTTGCACTGACCACTGCAATAGTTCTTTGGTTCCTAACTGTGGAATAAGTGACTGGCAGCACGAAGGAAAAAGGCAGGCGTCTCCAACCTAGCACCCTGCCTGGCCCGAGCCAAGAAGTAATCTTTTCCGATGGAGATACTGAGGCTATGAAACTCCAGCATCCTGGTTGCTGTTCTTCACACACCCAGAGAGGCCACATCAGACCATTTGGAAGCAGAGGTTTCTGGAAACACCTGTTGGTAGGGCTCCTGATTAATTTTGTTCACCCGTCGAGTTAGAGGCTGAGTGACCACCCAGTCTGAGAGAGTGCAGACACCAAAAGGTACAAGCACAAGCTGCCTACCATTGGCAAATTGCCAGTTGAGGGCCCAAAGAAACTGTACTTTGCAGGAGTAAGCGGTTCCTTCAGAAGCTGGAGGGTTAGTCAAGAGTAGGAGATGCCTCGGAAGCCCTGCTAGGCTGGCTTAACTGTTGCAACTGGGCCTTTTAAAGCAGGTAGATCAGGCTTTGTTCTGCTCTGTCTACTGCTGGAACCACACAGGTCTGGTGCACCCCGGCTCCAGTCATGTCCTCAGAACATCTGGTGACTCCCCCAGCCTTTAGTTTTGGAGGACATCTCCCAGCATCTCAGACTATTGATCATGTAGACTGGGCATCAAGTCGGGGAAGTCTGGAGTAGGTTGTCTCTATGCTATTTCCTTTCTCTCACCCATGGAAAAGAATGCAGAGGGCTTGTCCCATGGGCACAGCAGCTGGCATAATCTGCATTTCCAGATGTTTGAACTGGCACCAGCCGGCTCACTAGGGGGGATTTCCTCCCTCTTTTTCTGCCTCTGCTTCACGCAGACCCAATAGCCTGGAACCTAAATGCTTTCTCCTATATCAGCCTCCCTGTGTCTTGAGATCTGCTGCTGAAGCTGTTCTCCACGTGCTTGCCTTAGTGGAAGTGCACTTTGTGATGGCAGAAGGAAGGGCTGTCTCTGTGGCCACACCTCCATGGTGAACTGCCTGGTGTGCCTGGTGCTGTCTAGTATAAATGTTGTAGGCACAAGGCTAATTCATTAATGGAGTTCATAGGTCACCCTTCACATTATAATCCCAGGGCAGGGTCCATGTACATCCATAAAAACCACATAAAGCAACTTAAAAGCACCAACGAGTGCTTGATTCTTGTGATAATTCAAAACATGGATTTAGTTAAAACATGCTTATTTCCCCGGGTATTTTCATTTGAAAAATGCCTTAACCTGCTGCATGTTTTCAGTTGCTGACTAATTTTTTTGGTTAATACCATGTGTTTGTGCTATATATTAGTGCTCAGGGATCTTTAGGCCACCAAATCCAACTCTGCTCAGGGTAGGAGTCCAGGTCAAAGCATCAGGAAGGGACAGCTGCCAGTCTCCGCTTGAATGCCTCCAGCATGACAGCCCACCAGCTCCCCAGGCAGTGGGTGCCATAGTGACTGCTCTGACAGAAAGTTTTTCTTGATATTCAACTGAAATCTGCCTTCCTGTAACATATGCCTATTATTTTATGTCCTGCAGTCTTCCTGGATGATAATGAACAGGCTTCAGCCTTCCTCTGTGTGACAGCCCTTTAGATATTTGAAAAGGGCTGTCATATTCTTCCCTCTTCTTCTCTTCTACCCAGTTCCTTCAAATCTTTTCTTAAAGGATTTAATGTCTAGTCCTCTGATCATCTTCATTGTCCTTCTCCAAACTTGTTCCAGTTCAAACTCATTCCAAACCTGTGGTGCACCTACATGTGGTATATGCTATGCCATTACTTCTTTAAAATAGGTCTTGTGAAACCAAATAATATACTGAAAGCAGCAGCTACAAGGATGAAGGTGTTTACAAGGTGGCTTACATTATTCTCCTCCTCCTCTTCATCTTATCCTCACAACAACCCTGTGAGGTAGGTTGGGTGAGAGTCTATGACTGGCCCAAAGTCACCCAGTGAGCTCCATGGCTGAGTGGGGACTTGAACCCGGATCGCCTGAGTCCCAGTCCCTCACTCTTAACCACTACAGCAAGGCAGCACTGACTCTTATGGAACTCTAAAGCAAAGTTATTTATTTATTGTGTATGTTTATATGCCATTTTTCTCCAAGGCAGTGTTACCGAACTCAGCCAGTCAACAGCTAGGGCAAACCTGGGTGGACCCCAGACCCGAGCCAAAAGGAGCCTGAGATGAGACTTAGAGCCAAAATCAACTTTATTCTAGTGCACTATAGAATAAAGGGAGACAAAAGGGGACATTCAGCCCAAAGCAGTGTCTCAAAGGTTGCACCCCAGTACATGCATTTTATACCCTAGGTAACCAATTAGGTCACCTAATACACATCGATACATCAATGTGTGCACCCCTTCCCGTGCTGGAGAAAGAGTCCTTTCTTCTGTCAAGGACCAGACATTTCCCATGTCTATTTCTTATCTGCTCAAGATTCACACAGGCTTGCCATGTTCTTACTCCCTGCACATTTGCAACTTTCATGGTGGCTAGAACCAGTTTCCACTGTCCCTTTGATTACTGTATTCGAGGTCAGGCTAGCGTGTTAGCTGTGGGTTACACAAAGTTCATTTTGTTCTTATCTGCCCTCCCTCCTGGGACAGTATAACTGTGGTGTCTTTACTATGTGGCCTTCCTCTGGCCGACTACTGTTGGGGCCTTGCTCTGGCCAATTACTTTTGGGGTGTTTTGGGGTGCTGCAATTGGCAACAGCAGCATCAATGGTCCTCCTCCTTTCAGTGTTACTACTTATAATGCTGTCAATCAATGAGTAGCTCAGAGGCCCCCATGACCCAAGATGGATTACAGCCCGGATCACCAGCACCCCAGTCTGACATTCTAACCTTTCCTGCAGACCAGCATTCACTCCACCTCACTGATCTGGACAACTTCACAGGCAACGGTTTCTACCAGTGGCCAAGATGTCGTAGTTCATAGAGACCTGAAAGGGAGGGGGCAACAGGGAGGGGGCATTGCCTTTATTTTTGCCATGCTCTTCCCAGAAGCCCTTATAAGAAAAGGGATGCTGAACAAGGTGGATCATTCCTTGGTCTTCCCGTGTTCTTACTTTTTTATGAAGAGAGGTCAGTTATCCTACCACAACCAACATTTTGGACCACTGGCCATACTGACCACAGCCAGTGGGAATTGCAGCCCAGAGCCTTTGAAAGGATGCCATTTGGGGAAGGAGACTTTATAATGTTGGGGGTTTAGAGAAAAAAATTAAGAACAGCATGATGATAGGAATGGGAAATCACCCTCCCATTCACTGTGAAAGAAGCTTGAGGGTTTTGAGGTTCCTGACAAAAAGAAAGTCTTGAGGGCTTTTTGAGCATTCAAAAACCAAGGCCCTGTGCACACCCACCTCCAGAGTTGACCCCTGCCCCAAGGGCCCCGATTCTTACCATGAGACAGGTAGGGGTGGCAGAAGTGGCAACGGTAGCAGCAGGAAACAGGAAGGCATCACCACAAAGGCAGGTGCCAATCGCCATAAAATTTGCATGCACGAAGGTACATTCTAGCGTGGAATGTCAATTTATCCATTTTTATTCCGACTTATGTTGTAAGCTGTCCAGAGACGCAAGTAATGGACGGCATACAAATTTTAGAAATAAATAAATATTTGCAAACTTAGGAAGAGTTACTATAATTTAAATACCAGTACAGTAGATCTTTCTGTGGAAAACTCTAGTGATGACCCACTAGTGATGACTGCATACCATGGTCGTTTTGCTGCTTGTCTGCTTTTGATGGGCAGCTTCCAGGCACAACTCTCCTTTCTGGTGCTTTTAAAAAAATCTTTAAACCAGACTTGGACTGGGCAGCCCTTCAAATACAGGACACCTTCGTAATAAGGGACAGCTCTTTGGCAGCCTTTCAGATAGAGGACTGTCCTCTGTAAAAGGGGACAAATGACCACCCTAAGCTTGTATGGGCAATCCTTGTCTTTGTTGGAACTTTTTCCCTTGCCTGGGATTGTGCCTAGAAGTCCCAGAATCTCTAACCAGAAAGCAGATTCTGCACCAGTTTCCCACTGAGGATTAAAGATCATCCAGCAAATTCACAGAGTGTCTGATGCAGCTGCCTTGGCCAACTCCATCTGCCACAAAGAAGTATCAGGAGGCAACAGAAAATGAGGTGCTCAGGCAGAGTCGAGGTGAGCACAGCCAGCTGCAAACTCAATGTGATGGACACAAAATTCTGAATGGCAGAGAGGGAATAGAGAGAAATGATTATTCCTTCAACATAGTACAACTTTGTGTGTCATCCACTGAAATGGATTGGTGGTTGTGTTAGGTCTTGCAAAAGGATGTATTCGTTCGTGCAACAGGTCAGTTATGGAGCTCCCTGCCATGCGTGGGAAACTGTGGACCTCCAGATGTTGCCTAAGGGGACTGAGGCTGATGGGACTCCAGTTCCCATCAACACTGCATAGGGTGGCCAATGGTCAGGAATGATCAGAGTTGTAGTGCAGCAACATTTGAAGAACCACCAGCCATCCACTTGGCATTAAGAAAATTTTGCAAAATTTGTGAATGGATCTGCTGGTTACTCGTGGTTATTCCATATTCATAGGTAAGCTCTCCTCTAGAAAGTTTCTCTGTCTGGGGGTGTCTGTGCTGCTGCCAAAGACTTGGAAATCTCCATTTAGGCCCACCCTCACTCCGTCAAGAAGGAAAATCTGGAATACGATGCTGATGCATAAGAACACACATTTAGCATCAGCAAAATAACATTTTGCAACAGGAAAAAGATGGTTGTTGATGCTGGAGCAGTAGGCCTTCCGCTCACATAGGACAACTGAACTTTGTTAACGCTGGATTGCTTTTCCTTGGCAGGGGCTGGTCCTGAACAGACTCGGTCGTAGAAGCTTGGCTCAGAAGGTCCTGCAGGATGCAGTCCAGGTGCAGAGCACCAGCCACAAAGCCTGGAACAGCCTTGGAGAAGTTCTTCATGCTCAGGGCAAAAGCGAAGCTGCCGTCGAATGCTTCCTGACAGCTCTGGACCTCGAATCCAGCAGCCCTGTCATCCCCTTCACAGTTATCCCCAGGGAACTGTGATGGCTCTCTCTGTGCATGGGCACAGGTGCATTCTCTGGAGGTAGTTCCAATAGCACACAAGCTAAGCAATCTGTTTACAGTGCAATAAATATATAGTTGCTCAGTTGTTGCCTAGAATTTAGAAATCTTTCCATAAGGAAGTGCTTCAGTTTCAGGGATATTGCATTATTCTAGCACTCAGGCCGCAAGATAGATGGTTGCTGGGGAAATGCAATTCTTTTTCTAGCTGCTGGGGATGTTGCAATTTGCAGTGCTGGCCTGAATCAGCCTTCACAATGTGACCCAACTAGGAACAGAGGCCAGCAGATATGTATGACACCATAGGAGGGACTAACCTCTCTGCCTGGGGGTGCAAAAATTTGGTGGTGGGAGAAGCGGGAGTTGGCAAACACCCGGAAGGTCACAATACATGGGTGCTGGGAAGAAACGGGGTTTAAGCTTGATGTGCACCAGATTTGCAAGTCTAGCTTAAAAGACAGTTGTACGTGTCATTGCAGCTACTGGATAGTGCCTGGGGCACTGCCGGTGCTGAGCAACATGGCATGTCTCCCTCTAAGCCTCTGTCTGACAGCACCGCAAAGAAGGGGCCTGTATGGGTGCTAAAGCTGCCTGCTGTGACTTTGGCTGCCTACTTCCGCTCCTCATTATGGAAGAAAAAAGTATTTTTGAGTTCACTCTGACTTTGCTGTGACACTTGAGTTGGATTTGCTGCCAAATACTATCATAACTGGATTCTAAGAGATGACGCGCAAAAATATTCTGCTCTCCATCCTCTCTCACAGAATCTTACGAGCAAAATTTGTTGTAAACAGATGCAGCTCTAAGATCAGTTCATTATTCAACCCATACATCTTACTCCTTTTTACTTTTTTAAAGCCCATCAAGGGCACGGACTGTTCCCGTGCAGGCCTGCCCACAGTTCCACGGAGGCATCTTTTTCTTCCCCCTGCCTGGCTGCCCTTGGCTGCAAGCACACGTTGCAGGAGGCTGACCATGACGTTCAAGAGGAAGCCCATGTGTGCCTTCTAATGGCACATCTGTCTTCATTCCTGGGCCCTGTCTGCCAATTTCCTCTGCTCCACTGCTGTGAAGGGTGAAGGTGGATAGTTCCTCAAGCTTAAGAATAAAACCTTTGGGCGGGAGTATGCGAAGATATATAAACATGTGAAGACAAGCACAATGGCCTACAATCCACAGCCCACGTTCTCTTCAGCCTCTCCATGGGCATTAACAGGGTCACTGTAGATCTGGCACAGAGCAGAACTTTCTCTGTGTGGAGGCCTGGGTTGCCCCCCACCAAGCCCACCATGGACTGGATGACGTCAGTGGACAGGGCCGTCCCCCTGGCAACATTGTCCCACCCATTTTGCCCTCCTTCTTATTGAGAAAGCAACCAATCAGAGAAAGAAACTTGGTCAGCTTGGCGCCCCTCCCTGAGGACTCCAAGGAGGTTCTGTGGAATAAATGCAGAACCTCCACCAGCCAGATTAGGTCCAGGAGCCAGCGGTTCGGTATCCCTGCTCGGGAGAGACAATAGTGTTATAGTGCACAGACAGCCTCCTCTGTGCTATCATCATGAATGCTATAAATCAAATTCTGAGCGACAAAATAGATCCTCTTCAGCCAACGTTTCCCCCTGTTGTTAACACTTCCTTCCATTTTACATATTCAATCCTGGCAAAGCCGCTCATAGTACTAGGGAAAGCTTCTTTTTTAGTGTTTATATTCTGAATCATATCTAATACATATTTTTAAAGCAGATAGGCCTGTTGGAACAAACATATACCCTGTATTTCTCTGTAGTGATATACATAATAGGATTGTTTTGATCCACTTCTGTATGTGGCATGGACCAACGAAGGCTCAGCTCTTTGAAGTTCCATTCACTTCAATGGAAGACTTAAGCTTGGGGTTAAATCTCCTTCACTGAAATCAAATATAGCAAAAGTGGCTGGATTGTGTCCCTGCTTGAGATTATTTTTTAACAGCACATGGGAAAGTAATGGACAGGGCTCTTATTTTCAGGGATGCACAAACATGCCAGCTCACTCTTGGTGAGTACAGCTTTTGCTCTGAACATGGTCCAGAAGCAAGGAGAGCTCACCATCTCCTGCACTTGGAAGGACTGAGGAAAGCCGGAGCTGGCTTGATGTCAGCAGCATGGGGAGTGTCTTGGACTGTCTCTGCTGCTGCACTGGGCCTCGAAGAAATGCAGGCGCCTGCAATTCGGGCTCCTGTTTCTGGGTGCCTGAGGCTTGATGCGACAGGGGCAAGTCTCCCGTTCCCTTCTCCTCCCATCCCTCTTCACAGCTGTGCTGGCTCGGGAGTGCAGTGTAGTGTCTAGAGACTCATTTGGCAAGGCTCACAGCAAGGACAACTGCTGGCTGGCCGGCCACCAGTGCAAGCCAAGATCTGTCTGACCCTTGTGTATTTGCACTACCTTATGTGATTGTGTCACGGCATAGCATGGGAAACTATGTAGTAGAAGAGAAAACGGGTATGGCCAGAAGAGCATTTTGACTCGGCTTGTCAGAGCAATAAAGCTGCAGCAGGACCGCTCATCCATCCCAGCGGACCTACAAAGCAAGTGGAAGGAAGAAACGAGATGCTGAGGGCAGCAACTCCACATCTCTTATGATATGGAATTCTAAGAGTACTTCAAACACACCCAGCACCTAACAACCATTACAGATAAATGAGCGTCGCTAAGGAATCAGACCAGCGTTCCAGCTCCCTTGCCTATTTAGCTGCTGTAGGGGTGAGAATGGCTGGGGTCACATGTCATGAGAAGTCATGGTGGTTTGTTACCCTTGCTGGACTGTAATGTCATCTGAACCCAGTTGTAAAATATGGTGGTATATTTGGTCTCTGGAAACCATGTAAAGAAACATAGGTTTGCTGTATGGTTTTCTCATGCTGGTACCTCCACTTTTCCATTCATGGTGCAAAAACACCATAGAATCCCCTAGAAAAATCAGTAACAGAACCGGTTGCTCTAGGCATTCAGTCTCTACTACCCTCAGCCTCTTCACAACAAGTACTTCAGGGCTTGGTTTGTTCCTTTTGGCACCTGTGCCCATTGCCCTGTTCACTTTCTGCAACTTTCTGCAGGGAGAAAATGGATAAATGAATGGAGAGAGAAAGGAAGAATCACATTGAAAGTATTTATTTTAATACAAAAAAACCCCTTTGGTGAAACAGTTGAGCTGAAAGAGTTAATAAGATAGAGGAGGAAAATCAGGAGGAGAAAGAGGGAAAAGCTGCCTCAAAACGTCAGCCAACCAAGCAGAAAGAGGCAGCTGAGGTCCATGGGAAGCGTCACAGTAAAGAAGATCTTGTTTCCCCCGATCTGGTACCCTCCAAGTGCACAACTCCCATAAATATGGTAATTTACAGTCTGGCACATCTGGAGGACACGAGGCTGGGGAAGGCTGACATGGAGAAGGCCGCCAAAGCAACACTGTGCTCCAAAAGGTATTGGATCAAGGCACACCCACAACCAGCTGGCATTTTTGAAGACTTTCTTTCTCCTTGCGACTACTGAATAGAGCCTTTTGTTCTAAAGGATCTTATTTTAAAATGGGCTTGTGCCAAGATGCTCCTAACGTTGCAACAGAGGATGTGAACTATTGCTTCCATCTTTTTGCTCTCGGCAATATCTGTAGTATGTAATGCTTATGGTAGAACCATACATTTCTCCATGGAATGGTTCTCTCTCTTTCCATCTCAAAGAACGTAGACCTTCAGGGGATTTCCTTCCCAATATTTCAGTACCCTTCCAACCTGCTTTTGATTGTTCTGCTGTGACCATTCAAGTTGGCCTCATCCTCTCATCTGAGAAAGTCCATCTTCCTGCTGGGTACTTGGCAGTAACTGGATTGTACAATGAGACTGAACATGTGCACTTTTGAAACATGTTGCACTGTGATCCAAGTTTGCACACTCCCACAATTAGAATTTTTAAAGATATGCACATTGTTGTTAAAGGGGGTCACCGTTCGTTTCTCTCATTCTTAGGAACTGGCTTTATGGTTCAAGCATTAGGAGGTGCTCCATCCTGGGGCCTGTTTTATGTCATGTCCATGAACTATTTAATCCATAGGCTTAACTAAAATGATCAAGGGCTTGCAGCAGTTCCCGTATGACAGATGGCTACAACATCAGGGACTGTTTAGCTTAGGAAAAAGACAAATTAGTGGAGGCATCATAAAGGTGTATAAAAACATGCATGGCATGGAGAAAGCAGAGGGAGACATTTTTCTCTGCCTATTAAAATACAAGAACTTGGTGTCACCCATAAAGTCGATTGGTGGGATAGTCGGGACAGGTTAACGGGAAGGACTTCTTCACATATATGTGATAAACTACAGAATTCACTATCACAAGATGTGGTGTTGGCCTCCAAAACAGATGGCTTTAAAGGGAGATAAACAGGTACATGGAGCCCAAGGCTACCAGTGGCTATTGGTTCTGATGCTTATATGCCATCTCTAGCAACAGAGGCAGTATGCGTGGCTGGGGAACAATGGATTTCTCGTGCGGGCCGCCACTGTATGAAAAGCATGCTAGACTAGATGGACTTGATCTGGTCCTCTATGGTGGTTCTTCTCTTCTTAACCATATTGTAATTGTATTAGCAATTCTGTATTGTAAGATGCAGCAAAGGCATCACACGGGTGTGGAATAAGCTTTGTTTGCAAATGGACCTCTGCCATCCCTGGCCCTGCCATCTTGGGACCCTGAAATCTTCCCTCTCCATATTTGCCGGCCCATTCTCTGGTGTCAAAAAAGGCATCTCAGTGTCTTTAACAGGATAGCAAAGGGGAAAGGGTTCCTCACCATGGCAGTGGAAATGGTTCTTTCCTTAGTTTTCCTGTTCAGCAGCACTGCATCATGTCTCAGCATTCCGATGGGAACGAGGGAAGGTGCAAATGGACAGGCACCTTGGAATAATGATGTCTACCAAAACCTGTACAAGACTGGGCACTCCTAGAATAATACTACAGAAAAATCCATTAAGTTGCACCTTTGTGCCTGAGAGTTTCAGGGTGGGGAGGGGAGTTTAAATGTTTTATAATCTCTCATGGAGAATTTTCCCATTGTATTATGGTGACTGGCTGGTTTTGAATAGTTCCATTTTGGCTTCAGCATAGATACTGTGAGTCTCATTTATCTAACAGGTCATTGTACTTAGAACTATTGTAAATTATTACTTATTAAATGTGTTGCCCTTCTGCAGAAAGGAGCCGATCCAGCAAACTTTGGCAACTCTTAAATATTGTTGAAAGCAATAAAAACTGCCTAGTCATGATGAACTGAAATCCCTTTGATTTTTATGAGATGCAGTCAAGACTCCTTTTGTCAAGATGATGTTTTGCAGAGAATTAGAAACCATGCAAATAAATACATTCTATAACATGATTAATTTAAGAGCCTTTGGTTGATGTTCACCAACTGTGTAATGAACCGAGATTCTCTTGTTTGTCCAGAACAGCTTCAGAAATCCTTAACAAGCTTGTTCCTTGCCTCTTTGAACCCACAATTCCAAAATGTAACTCTCAAGGATGCCCTGCATGCTAGTTTGCAAGTTTTGTTTGCAAAGTAGCTTGCAATGCAATCAAGGTTTCCTATGAAGCACAGTGACATTAAATTTCACCAGATGAATAAACAAATCTCATGGAAAAAGATGTTAAGTCTCTTCTGCTCATTTTTTGGAATGCATGCTACAAGTATTAGAAGCTTTGCTATGCATTCATGCTTCAAATATCTGAGGAATGCCCTGAACTGAAGATACTGGCTGCAGAAGACAATGTATTTATTTTATTTATTTCTTTGGGTATTTTTACCCTGTCCAGTACCCAGTGGGTCTCTGGACGGCACATGCCCACACCAATTAAAGTTGAAAGCGACAGGAGTCTTCAAAGATCAGGACTGGCACTATGTCACACTGAACATGATCCAAAATTCAGATTGTTTCAGGTTTTCCAATTCACTTGCATTATTATTTGCTATTTTTTCGATTTATATGTCACCTCATTAGCCATTATTTGCCATAGGCATTATTTGCTTCCCTTACCCTGATGTAATGGGAAAGGGATCTCATGGAGTTACCAGGGCAAGTGCTAAATATGAATACACAACACACCATGGCTTAATTTATTCATGGGATCCGGGTGCCTGCAGGGGCTGTTTTTGCGCGGCCCCATGAATGCCCAGCTTGCCATGGCTTGTCGTGTCCTGTGAACCCAGGCAGCAGAGTACTTTGAGGGTTACACAACCCTTAAATAACTTTAAAACGAGCCGTGAGTTATTCTGTGGTTGTCTAAACCTCAGTCCCTGCTGCCTCCATCCCATGCTCGCCAGGTTGTGCTGTCCGCAGGTGTGTGGCACGATGTGATAGCGCCTGCGAGGAAGGGAAGCCAAGGTGGGTTTCCATGTTGTATGGACCAAGACGATGTGTGCGTGTTGGGGTGGGGGTGGGGGTGGGGAAATGGCAGCCTCCTTTGGTGGAAAACATCTTGGGGCCATGAAGTAAAACAATGAAGTATAAATGAGGGGGCTCCCACCACTGATACTAAACTGCTCCTCTTGGACTCAAAATTTTAGGAAGCATTTGTTCTGTTTGCTCTTTCACCACTCAGCCCTTCTTTTCCAATGAAAGGAGTTTGTGCAAATTTCACTTTGGAACCTAGTGGGAATAGAACCTGAGTTAGACTGGGCAGACCATACAGAATATGAATGGCCTCATGCAAGATGAACTAACAGCTCTGGGCATGTGATGGCCTCAGGTCATATGTTGATTGGCTGCCCCGGTGTGTGGAGAGAGGGACATGATTTTAGTCAGTGCTTTTTTTTGTTAAAAAAAAAAAAAAAGTGCCAGAACTCACGTCGCCTCCGGCAGTAAGCTCTCAGCGCGGTACCACACACACCAATCCCAAGCCGAGCAGCGTCCCAAGCCGGGCGGCGCAGACACAAAAGCAGCCCGCAGGCACTATGTTAATGATGTTTGCTGCTGACCTGCTACTCCGACAGGCGATTCAAAATCACTTCGTAAAATCCATTGGAAAAAAAGGTCCCGGAATGCTGTTCCGGTGCGTTCTATGACAAAAAAAAAAGCCCTGATTTTAGTGATAATTAGTCTGTAAGATTGCACTCAGCACAGGTTGGGCAACGGACAACATGGCAAGCCGGGTACTAGTTTACTCAAGGAGTTTACTCAGGGTGTAAACTGTTTAAACCAATGGAGTACTACAAGGTAAGAGAGGGATGGTTTTCTCTTTCTTCCCACGGCTTCCCTTTTACATATAAGGCGTCGCTCCTCACCCCGTTATGCGGATGGAGCAGACATTTGCATAAAACACATGTTTACTCTTCTGTTATACTTGGTCTGGTTCTAAGATAGATGCCCCTGAAATGAAAACATATTCTTCCCTATTCACCCCCTTCTGCTTCCTTCCTCTTCTGCTGTTGCCTTCCATGGGTCAAGGTTTAGACGTAAGCTGCCTGGGGCAGATACATGTTTTAAGACTTGGTAGGTGGGCATCAGGCACATGGATAATCAGAGCAGGTCACAGGCAGGGAGCCTGCTGCGCTCTCCATGTGCTGGAGTACAACTCCCAGTAGTATAAGCCAGCTTGGCCTCCCGGCAAGGGTTGCGAGAGATGCGGTCTAAGATGTGGGTCCGCCGTGCAAGGCCTTGGACACTTCACAGTGCCCACAAGCACTACAATATTGTCCCTTCTTCAAGTATATGTACATGGACTTGTGTGAAGTGGAGACAACTTCATCGCAATTATACATACGATTCAACGGAAGAGAATGAAATATCCCAGCAAGCTGCCATTTGAAGATAGGGCTCTATGCCCACAATTGAGATATCAAAGCATCCTTATTCCATTGCACTATATTGTCTTTTGCTTTTATAATATCAATCTTTAAGCTGCCATTAGCTATACAAAATCCATTTTACCTTCCCTTTTTTAATTTCCATGAAGCACATAAATAATTTAAAAGAGCCTATACACAGTGAATATTAAAGACTGTTCCAGTACACAATGTATTGGTGTAACAATCTCCTCCCAAAGAGATACAATCACTGGCATTGTCAAAGCATATGCAAAGAAGCATAAGCTGTATTGAGCTGCCAGTAATGAGATAAATCAGACAATCCTGTATTAAAAAGATGTTGCAGTGCCCAAGATTTTGCTGGATAACACAACTGCCTACAATCCATTGGTGTGACAGGTGGATGCCAAAGTGGCAATCCACTGATTAGGCAATGAGTGGTGGTGCCCACAGCAGTTTCTCAAATCTCCAGATGTGCCTGTGGGTCCAAAAGGGGGGATTCCCAGTCTAAAACCTCTGGAGGGCACCAGGTTGCTCCTGGAATAATGGAGAGACAGACTGGTGTAACGGGATGTGAAGGAGACCTGTTTGCATTCACCTGACAACACAAGCCGGCGTGCCATTCTTCACTGACATTCATAGCATAACCTTGCCCCCTTTTGAATAACTGCAGCCTTAATTAGAACTGCCTGGAAACTGGTATGTTTATACATTAGTAATGAGAAGGTTCCCGCACTCACTTGTCATATGAGAGGCAACCTACAGCTGGGCTCACAGTGACGTGTACGATTTCAGGAAAATGTGAGTTCAAGGAGTTAAGGGCAGTCTGGTCATTGTGGGTTAAAGGTGGTGTACTGATCAACCTACAATCATTGTCTGGCTGAGGTAATTAGCAAATGAATGTTTCCTTAGAAGAGGATCCAAGGCTCCAAATCCCTTTGTCCTAGACTGACAACATAAATACTGCTTCGTATTACAAGCTTGGGTTTCCAGAGCAGAAACCTGCTCAGTCCAAATGGTTAGGAATGGATGTCGCTGTAAATGGCTCATTCTCCTGTCTTGATTATTTCCAAGAAAAAGGTGATAGGGGAATAGATAGAAGGTAGATCACAGATGCACATTTATGACTCTGTCAGAGAATATGTCTAACATTTTATAGGAAAACTATGATTCAGTTAGGAATGTGTAAATCCATATAGATGCCCCCTCAAAAAGATATCTGGCACTCTTGTTTATTACTACCACTCTACACGACTCTGGTGCGCCCACAACTGGAGTATTGTGCTCAGTTTTGGGCCCCTCATTACAGAAAGGATATAGCCAGGTTAGAGTCAGTGCAGTGTAGGACCACAAGGTTGGTGGCCGGTTTGCAGGGGATGGGGTATGAGGCGAGACTGAGGGAACTAGGTCTCTTCAGCCTGGAGAAGAGGAGACTCGGAGGGGACATGTTGGCGACATACAGGTATGTGAGGGGGTGTCACACGGAGATGGGTAGAGACCTGTTCTCCCCTGCAGAGGAAGGCAGGACGCGCTCCAACGGAGCAAAGCTCAGGGAGCCAAGGTTCCATTTGGATACCAGGAAGCACTTCCTGACAGTTAGGACCCCGAGGGTATGGAATGGGCTTCCACAGGAGATGGATGAAACCCCATCAGTGAGGGTGTCCAAGGATAGGCTAGACATGCACATGGTGGGCATGTCATGAGTGGAGCCAGCTAGAGCAGGGGGTCAGAGTAGATGACCCAGGAGGCCCCTTCTGACTCGCTCTGTTTCTATGTTTCTACACTCATGTATAATTGCTAAAAAGTTGTATTTTCATATACACGCCTTTCATAGGTACAGCAGGATCCCTGTATCTGCAAGGGTAGGTTCCAAACACCCCCAACAGATGCCTGAAACTGTGGATAATAGTGATAATACCTGGATACCTGAAGGAATGTCTTCTTCCATATTTGCCCTCCCGCCCCTTGAGATCGGCAGCAGAGGCCCTTCTCCGGGAACCCTCTGTGAAAGATATTAGGAGGCATAGTACCCAGAGGAGGGCCTTCTCTGCGGTGGCGCCCCATCTATGGAATGCGCTCCTCAGAGAGGTCTGCCTGGCGCCGTCATTATTTGTTTTTCGGCATCAGGTTAAGACCTTTTTATTCCAGTGATCTTTTAATAAGTTTTAATATTGGTTTTTTTCTATGTTTTTAATTGCAGCCAGTGTGGGCCGGGGATTTTATTTATGTTATATCTTATTTTATGGTTTAAGCCATCCTGAGGCTTTTTGCGAATTAGGACAGCATATAAATATTTTAAATAAATAAATAAATAATACTATATACTGCCCATATACATTTTTTTCTCAATTCCAGAGATAGAAGATTCGTTCTTACCATACATCCTAGCAACTGCAGCATTCTCCCCCCCCCCCACCCCCTTTCCTGTTAAATTGAGAATTTTCTCTTAAAGGAAGCACTTTATGACTTCTCTTTTGGACCAAGGTCAACTGCGGTTAAGTGAAAATGCTGTAACAGAGCCAATGGATACTGGGGTTCTTCTGCATTCATTGCCACAGATATATGCAAATTCATGTGTGTGAGTGTTATTTAAAGCTACAAAAAAGAGTAAGGAAAGAGGTAAAGACAGACATAGAAGAAAGAAATGGATAAGTCCATTGGTCCTGATCCAAATATACTTGTACCCACAAACTATTTTTCTGGACAACCACTTGCAAGCAAGTTTGAATGGCCCCTAAGACAACTGGTACCTACCACATTTAGTAGGCGCAAGATGAGTAAGAATATCCCCCGCACCTCACCGACTCAGGAGTCCTCCCACAGATTTCAAGAAC